CAGCTTCTTTCTACCCTACTTGAAAATCCCAAGAAGCACAGATTTATGCCAAGACGAACATGCCAAAGTTTCTCATTTAGAGGCAGCAGACAAAGATTTGTGGGTAAAATTAAAGAAATGGAGGTAAAGCAGAAAGTTTATTTTATCTCTAATCTTAGAGTTGATATAAGATCAGAGATGAGTGAGATGGGTTGCACTTAGAGATTCACCAATAAGATTTATTGTAACCAATAGCAATTTTTAAAACTTTATAATATAACATGCAACATTTAAAGTATTTTATCTAACCTCAGTGTAATTTTATTGAGTGACATTGAAGAATAACAATACAAATTTAGGTGTTCTGAAATATAAATGAAAAGTTTAGACGTCACCTGGTGGGCGGGTCCGTCAGTCACTGCTCTCACAGCAGAGCAGAAGGGGAAGCTGATTTTCACATGTTTGCGGAAGGAGACGAGATCGATGGATAAGATTGGTTTCTAAAGCAAATTATCCAAAATTAAGGAAATTATTGCCAGTTGATTGATCTGTGCACTCCTGCTCCTAACAGTCCTTTGTGATATGATTATTTCACATTGATGTTGATATTAATTTGATGCATTTCTAGAAAATATTTAGATTTTTAAAAATCTTTCCAGTATTTATCCTTTTGATTGCTAATTAGCGAAAGGAGATAAATAATTGTAAGCTGATTGGTTGATTTTAGAACCATTGTCTGTTTAACATGTTGCAAATCTAATTGTTTTGTAGCTTTCACATATTATTTCTAATTACCGGCTGATCCTCCCGCCTCCGGCTTTTAATGACAGGCGTGTTAAAAGTAGCCAAAACATTGATTTTTGAACCATATCAACCACCCAGGCCCCCTCCGCCCCTCTTCCCTCACTAGTATCTGTGTCATGGCTCAGGGCTGCCGGATTGTTGCCCCCACTGTGGCTTGGGGAGGTCAGCCATGCTTGAAGCCCTCAGGGATCAATGGACAAGTCACTGTACTGTAAATACTCACTCCTGAGCTTGCTATCCATCTGTAAACACATATCTACTCATGCAGTACACATTTTCACACACGCTGCACTCAGGCACCAGCGGTCACTTCTTGAGCTTTTTCGTCACATTGGCCCCACCTCGATTTTCCTGGGTGTGAATGCAGGAATCTAACTCTCAATAGGTGATTTCAATTCAATTCTCACCCATTGGATTTGTTTACGCTACATTGGGGTGATATATTCTATAGGTTGTTTTCATTCTGTCAGTCTTGCTGCCACTAGTGTCACATAAAATTGACTGTTCTTATGCGGCATCCAACAACTCTTTATAGCTTGTGTCAGCTGTAGAAAATCCAATAAAAACACATCCAGCCTTTTTTTTGTTTTTGGCATTGATAGAGGTGACAGAGAATTTTTTCTAAATAAATGTATAATGCAAGTAGGTCTTAGTGTGAACGATGGATGTGTGCACAAGCAGCTGCAAAGAGGGATAACAATGTGCGAAAAAGAACAAGAACCTTGTTAGAAATGTATCAGTTCAATTCTGCTGTGCTTATGTTGTTCAAGGAAAGACTTTCGAAAAATGCAGCTTTTTTGTAGAATTCATATTTACATTAACTGTACATATTTATTTTTGACGACACAAGCCTGCATTTGTTCTCCAAAACTTCTGCTTTTCCAGTTTCCAAAGTAAATCTCTGTGCAAAGCTTTTAACAGACTAAATTAGGCATTTTCAGAGTTTGTGATGTGATGGATTTTACCTTTTGAGCAGAAGAAACAGCTGACGTGGACATTTTAAAATTGTGATAGCTAAATATTGAAGATCTGTCAGGGTAACGTGTGTCCCTCGGCATAGCAGCAGGGATCTCTTCACCTCTGTAACCTTCAACTTTCAGCTTTAACCCCTTCAGCGTCCTTTTTACATCCACCATTCGCCCAACATCTTCAATGGGAGGGGTGAATGAAGTGTGAAAAATAGAGAAGGAGCCAGGATGCAAACCGGAATATGACAGACATTAGAAGGTAATAAGAGGGGAAAGAGTTGTGTTGTAGAATATCTTGGGTAAGAATGGCTGAGTGATGCTTATCATTTGAGGAGATGAAGACCTGAAATGAAGCAGAAATATGTTTTAACTGAGAAAAATGGAGGGAGAAGATGGTGACAAATAGCGTGGAATGCAGAAGAAAAATGATTAGCAGTTGAAAAAAGAGAAATAAGCTCCTGAAAGAACCTGGAATGAATCTGATGAAAAGGCGATAAGTATTTACATGTTCAAGTTAAAGCTTTTTGTTAGAGCTGTAACTCCTGATATACACCCAGAAGTTATGTCAAGGCATTTCAAAGGTGGAGTTATTCCATCTAAAAATTATCAGAAAGAAAATAGTTGAAAGAACAAAGTTTAGAAACTTGGTTGATGTAATGTAGGCAGTGCATGTGTCAGACGCTTGATTGCTTTGGTATAAATCTCTGAAGAGTTTCCTGAAAGGTTCTCAGCAATCAGCTTAGCATGTTTCTAATACTGTATTTATTCTGTTTTGTGCCAGCTTCATAATCAATTTCAAATGTGTTTTTCAATTGCATAATTTAAATGTGAAGGTCTGGATTAAGCTCCACATGATGAAGTGGGTTGCCTCACAGAGTCTGTCAGTTTGTCCATCTGTCTGTTTTTTCTCTATCCATCCTTCTGGAACCATGATTGTTAAAAAATATGAGTTGGGTTAGAGAGAGACACTATTTTAGAGCCATGTTTGCTCAGTTTTGTGGTACCTTTTTTCACAACTTCATTTTGTGTTCAGTCATGTTCTACACATTGGTGTCCATCATTTAAGCTGTTAACACGGTTAAAAGCAATAAGAAACAGGAATATAATTATAGTGGTTCTTGTTGGTGGGACCCCCACACAACTTTGAGTGCTGAAAGTAGCCACTCTACACAACAAACCTCCATGTTCCCATGTCTTCTCAGGCTCTTTCTCGTCTCCAGACTTCTTGTCCCTCTTCATGTCTGTCATTCATCTCCAGCAAGCGTCTCTATTCTCTCACCCACTAAATCACCATAAAATAGCCCTGACTGTGCCAGATCATAGGGTAGAAAGAAAGGGGGTAGTCATAGTTGGATTGCTGAGCTTTGAGGTCTGGTGTTCTTTTTATTTATTTTTTTACTGGGCTGCTCTTTTCAGGATGAGACCCATGAAATTATCCAATAGGATTACGTAAGGCACCACGGGTTCTGCTGCCGCGCCGTCGTGTACGCTGCCATTGTGTTTCTGATTCTCACAGCCATGAAGCCTCTCCTAACACTGTGTGATTACATGTTGGCTTTTCATTTGATTTCTACTACTGCTTTTTATTCACCGTTGTTTAAGACTAATGTTTCTTTTAAAATTTCTTCTCATTCACTCATTCAGTTTTCTTTGAGCAGAGACGTAGACGTGTTTATTTTTACTCTGTAGTCCATCTGCCAGAGTGAACTTGGCACGCAAAAGCTGGTCTGCTTCAACCGATGCTGTTCCTGCCAGGGTCACGAGATGAACTCAGAGCTGTGGAAGCCATGTTTACCAGATAACCCCATGTTCAGACTATAGCTGGGCGCCCGCCTGCTCTCGAACACATGGCACAAACTGGTTCTATGGTGTGAAAACTCAAACACAAGTTAATATGACGGTGAAACTGCAAATTCGCTCCTTTGTTCCTTTCTCAAGTTTTTGCCTAACTTTGTTGTACTGAAACTGATTTAAGCCTAGTCATTTTTCTTTCCCAACTTTAGTAAAGTATGACGTATAAGACATTAAAATATGTACATATTTTAAACGCTGTTAATGCTGCCGTCAAGTCAGTAATTTATAGATATTAGGAGTAAATCTAACCTTATGACATGCACACCTGTTGTAAAACAGGATTTCCTGTTATTTTATAGTAAAAACATTATTAGAGTTGACTTTTTCATCTGGCTTCAGTATCTTATAATTTAAGTTATTTAGTGCAGCTAGTTGTACCATAATGTAATCTTTGTTTATATATTCTACTGAATGTAGACCATAACAGTTGACATTTCTAAATCCATTTTAAGCTTCATTTTAATGAATGGAATGGAATTAGAGAGCAGTGTAGCTTGCCTTTATTTTAATCAGCCTTCCTGTTATCTACAAAAAGTTCTGCTCTCTTTAGTTGTGTAGCAGCAGGAATGAAAAAATACTGTTTCCTAAGGTATAATTTTTGAGCTTCCGACCGGCTGGTTTTAGTGATCTTTCATTTTCTGATTCCTTTTTTTTGCTCTTTGCCACCATTTAAATTAAGGACATTTTGTAAATTTAGTTCCTTTGACTAGTCTCAGCCTTATTTGTTCAAAACAGTAATAAATTCCCACTGAGTCTCACCCACTCACTCAGATGATATGTGCAAATATCCAGAAATGTCTATTTTCACCTGATCAGCTCCTACTGTTCACTCAAAACATTTGAATAATAATGTTTAACAAAACCAGCTAAGCTTTTGCATCGAACAAAACAGTTATTATAAGTAGGTAATTTACTTGATCTGCAAATCCAATGATAATCCTGTTTAATCTCTCATTTATGTTTTTCTATTGTTTACTGAAAATAGAAATCAGAACCCTTTTATAGTAATCGACCTTTTGGTTTAAGATTTACATCCCAGCAAAACAGCAAAGCTTGCATCAATGTAGGAATAATTAAGCAAATAAACCAGAGTGTGTTATTGTGACTTTGTTAAACGTGCATGATTCGGTGTATAATATCAGCTATCATATCTACACTGAGGATATAGATTTGCATATTTACAACACAGTCAGCCTAGATACTCTCTTGTCTTTCAGTGTGCGCTGCTCCATGTGAGTGTGTGTGCATGTCAGCATATGAGTGTGTGTGTGCACAGGCTCGCAGCAGCCACCCTTGCCCCCACCCCTCTCATTAATATGTATGTGATCTGAGGCAGCTAGCGTAGACGGTGTGTTTCTCACCCGCTGATTAATGCTGTCTGTCAATTACCTCTAGATCCAACCGTGCTGTGGAGCTTCCCCCAGGACCACACAGACCAGGTTGGAACACACTCTGCTTTTCTTTTTCCACTCTCTCCAAATCGCTCACTCGTTCAGTGTTACAGACAACCTCTACCGCCAACACCACCACCACCGTCATCTCCTCCTCCTCCTCTGCCGTCTCTCTTCCTTTTTCCTCACGCCCGAGCTCACCCTGCCTTCCTGTGGTAACCTCCCCCAGCACCTATCACCACCACCGCTCTCCTTCAGGTGCTTCCTCTCCTTCTCCTTTTCCTCCTCCTCCTCATCCCCACCATCCTTTTCTGCCTGACTGTACGTCTGTGGTTGGTAATGAAAAGCAGTGAGCAGGTCTTCAATAAATGGTGAATCTGTAATTATTATGCATCCGTGACAGGAATGCACACCTCTATTTTCTCCCCCTTTTCTCTTTCTCTCTCCATCTTTTTTTTTTCTTTTTGCCTTTCTCGTCATTCTCCTTTTGTCTGTATTTAGTTTCAGTATAAAATACATTGTCGTCTTTACAAAACAGTTTAAGGTAAGTATTTTCAACTTTGTGCTGCAAATTAAATATTATAAAAAATGTATGTAAATGATTTTATTTTCTGAAATTGTTCATTGTTTTTGTGAACCAGACATGGATCAGAGATTTTCTTCATTCATTTTAGCCAATTTATATTTTTCTTAAGGAACTGTTTCATTAAATGTATACAAAATTATAAAAAGTGTTAAATTCATGTATATAAAATTAAGATCTCTTAAACTGGATGGAAACAGTAAGTTGGCCTTTGACTTGTTAACTACTGTTAAAATGTAACCATACCTTTTTCTACAAGATAATTTGAAAATAGTGAGTGTGACAAAGTTAATATTTGAGAAGAAAAGTTCTAATTTACTGTTCAGTTAGAACGTTAAGCCATTTGTTCAATTATTGAACCTTAGAGCTGCGTTTTAGTCGTCTTTCAGTGATGATTGCTTGTTTTTCTGCTCCCTTTGACATGAAACTAAAACTAAAAATGCTTTAGATGGTAACAACTTCCTCAGTCTTATTACCCACATTCACTGAATGTGTGTGTGAGGGCGCAGGGAGGGGGGGACGTTACATGATGAGGCTCATAATCTTAATATTTAAAATTATATAAAAAAGTTTGGCTGACATTTTATGCTTTTGATTCTTTGTTGTCCAAACATTCACTGACTGGCTTGATGTATCATAGTAATCTCTTAAGCCATAAAAGATACAAATGAATCAAGTTTAATTTATACGTACCATATATTTGTAATAGTCATGATCTTTGATTTAGTTATGTAGAAATAAGTCAAGAAAGAATGATGCATAATCCTGGGATTTTCTTTTAGCGCTGTTTCGTTTCAATATTTACCTCTGTTACCTCCTGTCACTTCATTTAGCTGAACTTAACATTGTTGAACATGAACTCAGCATCATTATATTATAAACAACTAAATAGGACCCAGGAACTAAATTATCCTTCATGCCAGTCACAGATTTTAGCAGCTGTCTCGAGGGGACGGTAAGCGCTCTTGATTTGATAGAATTTTATTTGAAAGGCCTGCTCTTTCCCCCCAAGAAAAATATTCTGCCTCAGCAGGGTGTCTGTTTTATTTTCCCTGTCTGAATTCACCTCCAGAGCAAAACACTTTAGATCCAAGTTGATCAGAATGATCTCACATGCTTTAATACAGGAGTATATTAGTATAACTGTGTAAGCAGCGCATGAGGTTGAATCAATCTCCTCTGCTTTATCAGCATGTGACAAGTCCTGATCTGTAGTTTGTGGGAGAATTTCAGTATTTTCACAGGTGATAAAATAGTGTAGCATATTACATTCATAATATCTACATCCTAAACCAATACTATAAATACCATTATAGTATTAGTAAGAAAACTGCAATGTGTGCATATCCTTGGACCAATGCTTTTTTAAACCATGTATTTCAGTGTTTAGTCTACAGCATCTTTCACTATAATAAATCTTTCACTGTCAATATTGTCTCACTTTTACTCTATAAAGCTGTGGATTATGAAGGTCTTTCCAGTTTACACACACTGAATCAGATTTAATTCTGAATTCTGGCTAAGGCAATTCCCATCATCACTTTTCCTTTTTTTTTTGTTTATTTGGATGCAAGCATTAACAATTTATGACACCTGTAGAAATACCTAAATTCAGGCAGAAGAAAAGTGACTAAAGTGTAAGGAGCCCCCTTTCAGCCAGCTGACTGGCAGTCCAGAGGTAAAGTTTTGGGGAGAGGCAGTGCAGGTTTTCCCTTATGCACCACACTGCTGTGTGAAAATCTGTCATCATGTTAAAAGGACTTTGAACTCTTTGAGTATTGTATCAGTAAGGATCACATGCTTAATCTCTATGGGTTTCATCTAAGTGCAACAAATGGCAAAAGAAAACCAAACCAAGCAGGTTTTTATTCGACTGAAAGTGGCCAGAGAACAGAAATTGAAGTATTTGACAAGTGACTAGAAATAAATGTGCAAGGTAACGTAAACAGGTTCAAAAAACACCCACTGTAGTTTACACAGCAGTCTGGCACTTAGGTTTAAACAGCTCTACTGCTTCTCTGATCCACTTTGAGGAATAAACAGACTTGTAGAAAGATGCTTCAGGCAATTTATATCTGCCCCACAAGAACCAAGGCATGCTATCAGAATAAGACATAAAGAAAAGAAAACGGTATGAGATTTATACATATCTGAATCTAAGAAAGATGTTTGTGTTTACGTGAGCCTCATCCGTCTTGTATCTCAAACATCCCCACTTCTCTTTCAGTCAGTTATTTGTGTGCATAAGATGGTCCTTAAGTTGTCGAGTTAGTGTGCTGTATACAAAGGGATTGGTCTCTTTCCCTCATATACATAAAGGCGGTATTCACAGACCTCATTACCAGGATTAGGGCTCTTTTCCTCCTTTGTGGAGCTGAAGGCTGGAGTCCTCTAGCCACAGTCTCTGTCTTCTGTGGCCTGAGCTGGCCAGCATATGGCAGCAGCAGCCAACAGTCTCTGCAGAGGGACTCAGAGCTCAGAGCAAGGCCTCCTTTTGTTTAGGCCGTTATTGTTGCGCAGCGTAATGACATTTGTAGGCCGTAGGATCGAGGTGGAGGGGTTAGTCTTCCCCAGGGGAGGGAGACGGAAAGAGGGAGGAAGACAGAGTGGGATGGAGGGAGGGAAGGCATGTAGACAGACAGGAGTGTGGATTATGGAAATATGAATTGATTTTTTTTTTCTGTTCAGTGGTAGAATAGAAAGCTCAAAGGAGAACAGACTGCAGGCTGGCTGACACGCCGGGGTGGTGCTAGGGAAATCTGAAGTGAGAGGGGCTTGCTGCCTCTATCTCTCTTTCTCTTCCTGTTTTTCCTCGTCTTCCCCCCCTCCTTCCTCTTTTCCTCCTTTAGCCCCTGAGACTCTCCATGCCCTGGTCATCTACAGATGCCACTTGGATAGAGATGGAAAGATGTAAGAGAAAGGGAGGGGAAAGGAGAGGTGTCTAAAGCATATATTTGAATCATAAGAGGGTTTTTTTCTCGTCTTTTTTTTATGATTTTGCAAATGAAGCAGACAGATGGAAATCTGTCCATTTTCTCTTAGATCTCATCCCAAAGTTATTGAGAGGAAATCAGCAGTCAGAACAGACACAGAATACGACCAGTTACGTCTAGCTAACCCCTGCATGACGTATGCAGCGCTGGTGGCCGACTTCTCCTGTGAAGAACAGATGACGATACGATAAACACTCTGAAAGCTTCACAAACACAGAAACTAAGGCTAATACACTAATGAAAGTAGTTGTATGTTTGTTCTCAAAAAGAAAACAGTGTGATTGGCTTCAGGGGTGTTACTTCCCCCTGGTCTGTGATTATGTTTCACAGTTAGTTTTCAGAGTGAAATACACTGATTAGACATACTATTATGGCCACTGATAGGTTGATGCCTCTTTGTGTAGCACAGCAGCTCAAATTGACAACGACGTTGATGGTGGTTCTGATAGAGAAATACACAATGCATTACATATTGTTGCATTTGGGTCACCAACAACAACCTGCATCAAACTATCACTGCTGGAATGTGGATTAATAGGAAAAAGATCAATATAATTTAGTTTTACATCAAGAGTACAGCTAGTTTTTTGTGCATTGCTTACCTGGAAAACACATGGAACAAAGCAACAATGGTAATGGAATACTTGGACTTTGTTTTTAAAATTATTAGAAACCTGAAGATATCTGACATGCTTAAAAAAAGGACTGCAGTATTGCTGTTCATCTAACTTGTCTTGTGTTTGGACTAAATTATAGTCTTGCTTCCTGAATGTGTTCTTTCTCTCTCTGCACTCTTTTTCAGTTTAAGAACTGACATAAAAACTTAACTCTGCACGTTTTTATAGGCTTTCAAATGTCGATCTGATTTAAAATCATAAAGGAACTCTTAATGTTTGCCCTCATCCTCTTTGTTCACTTCTTCCTTTTTACCTTCATTTTATTTCCATGCATATATATTCATCTTTGGGTTTACTGTATTTTCCACCTTGCGTGGTCATCAACCTCCTTACTTCCACAATCCTTATCCCTTTGCCTCACAAAATACTGCTAAAAGATATTGCAAATGCAAATTACATACAAATTACATTTATTTTTCTACCAGTCTGGTAGTATCAAGGGAGGAATAAAGGAAATATTGAATTATAAATAGAATTCACTCCAAGGCCCCACATGAACTGTAAACTAAAGTTGATGTTAACTCTCCGTGGCTATTCCGCACATTTTACTGTAATAAGGAACCTTTGATCTTGCTGCTGCTTACTGCGCCGAGCTGACTGCACGAGACGCTGCTTTCATTTATGCCAAGGTTGCATGTGAGGGTTCGATACTAAAGAAATATCTCTGCTTTGATATGGACACGTACGGCTATGTATAATCAATTTGTAAAGCTTTCCAAAATTTCCCAGTTCCTTTTATAAGCAATTGTTGACTTCCTGTCATGCAGCTTTGTGATCTCAGCAAATTTAGAATAT